GAATGCCTGATGAACGAAACCCGTAATTTTTAACTGCAAAAGCATCTCTTTTCCCTCCGGCACCATATGCTTGCCTGTGGGCTCTCAACTGACTTGTGTCTTTATCTTTTGAAACCGATATATGTGCATTCGTGCCAGTTTGGGCTTGACATTCTGATTGTCTGACACCTGAATTTGATTTTCCATAACCCGATACTCGAGAAGGTGATCCAGACTTGCCAGACAGCTCACCTTGCTTCTGAGATGACATCACAGTCTCATTACTGGCTCTTTCTGGAAATACATTAGCACTTTTCAGTGTATTCCCAGCAGAAATATTCATTTGTCTCATTGTAACATTCGGCTGAGGGTCAGAGAGAGGTATGGCCGCATTTCTAACAAGAGTATTAGATGAATTACTTTGATCAAGCTGAACAGTCATAGCCGCCCCAGAATTTTGATTCAGAGCAAAAGATGATGAAGCACTAGGGTGGACAATCGAATGATGTGGCAGCGGCAGAAACCCTTGGGATATCGGGGATGTATATCGCACTTGACCAAACTGGAAGATAGGAGGATGAGACTGTTGCATATGGGTAAGTGAGGTGCCAAACTGAAGGGGAAGAGGCATTTGTATGGAGCCAATCTGTATGGCTGGAACAGGAGAAGGTATCAGTGAAGGACCAGAAAACAAACCGAACGGAAGCTTAACAGGCTCCACTGTCTGAGCTGGAGCAGAACATGCCAGAGGCAAAGCAGTCTGAACAGTTGATGAATGCAGATCCACGTTAAGAGAGGGTAAACCAGGTTGAGCAGAAATGACAGAGTTACTCAAAGACTCCACTTTATCAACTGATTCAGAAAGCTGCAGAGATTGGAGGCCACTGTTGGGCTGAACAGCCAAGTTCGGCATCACTCTCTCGATTTCCAAGAAACTCCCAGATGAATTATCAAAGTTTACTTGGCCAGGGGTTTCAAGAGTTTGGGTGTCTTGTCCACTACTGCTTGTCTCATTAGGTCTTTCTCCATCTACTGAATCAACAGTATGCTGAGGAAGTGTAAACGCAGCTTCTTTGTTGTGTTGGCATTTTTCGAAGTCATCATTGGGTATCTCAACTTCCACTCCTTCATTGAACCCTAAGACTAAGTTAGAGTCTTTCTCCTGGAGGTGCATTTTATCAAACTCTTGGACCAGATTTATGTTCATCTCATCACCCCCATGCATTTCATCTTCCTCTTGGTATGCATCTTCATCCTCATCATATTCTTCTTGTTCTTGCAAATGTTCATTGTTGTCAATAGTCCACTCTTCATCATCACCACATGACACAGAGCCCGTAGCGATTATCAAACTATCATTCTCAGCATCAGCAGACATAATAGGCTCTCCTCCCTTCTCTAATAAAGCAGCGTATTTATCCTTTCTGGAACCAGCTAACACAGATGAATCACCTGATTCATCCAGGTCATCATGAGAGAGGTGAACAGGGGAATCCGGTGGGCTTGAAACAGAAAGCGAAGACTGAGATTCACATCTTCCAGCAATCTTGCTATCAAACCGATGATGTTCATTCCTATTACTTCCAGACTGCTCATGCTTGTCTTGAAGTTCCCCATTGCAACTTGTTTGAGCAGTTGGTTCGGTTCCACTGGCATTGTTATACGTCATACCACCGTTTTCGACAGAATTTGAAGGGCCTGGACGATCAACCTCACTTCTAAAGGACAGTTTCTGCATAGAATCCATGGGAGGTGGAAGTACACGCGGCTGTTTTACTGAAAACCTTTGTCTGCCAAAAGGATAATAATTATCCCCCTCAGGATTCTGATACAACTTTTCAGGGTAAGGAGAATACGGATTATGACGTGAGTGGCCCTGACCTTGTCCCCACCCAGGATCGCCATAATGTTCGCCAAACCCGTCGCGGAATTCAGATTCCATTCCTCCATTTCTGGCATAGAGACTTTCATCTCCAGGGATTCTCCAGCTCTGATCAATTGAAGGTTCCGGATATCCTGGTTTAAAATAAGGCCTGCCAGTCATGTATCCAGCCGTACCAAAGAACTCTTTCTTGGGGAAAACACCACCAGCATCTCTCTGTGGGCTCCGAGGAACAATCTCCATATCTTGTGAAATAAATTTCGTGTTGCTTCCAATCTCAATACTTTCCTTTCTCCAAGAACTGGGCTTTTGTCTAGCAGGAAACACAGAAGAACCATCTCTAGAGAAATGAGACACAGAATGGCTCTCAAATGATCTAGTTGACACAGGAAGATCCAAAGTTGATGATGTGGTAATTCTCTCGACCATCCTTTCCCCATCTTCCCAATCAACCACGTCCACTGCCCTTGGAAGCTCTTTTTCTTTAACAATTTCCAAGCTTTTATCCCCTGACGCAGATGAAGAGCTGATGCAACCCTTTGCAGCTTCAGCCTGCCTCTTAGCAATTCTTTCTTCCAACTCTAAAAGCTTTTGCTTAGCAGCCTGCTTTCTCCTTTCTTCCTCCATAAAGATTCTCCGCTTTTCCTCTTCTTTTGTTTTTCTCAACTCTTCCACCTTCCTTGCAGCCTCAAGTCTCTCCTGCTCGGTTCTCCAAGCAGCTTCTCTGGTCTCTTCTTCCAGTTTTCTCTGTTGTTCCTCTTGTTCGCGAGACAACCGCAATCTCTCTTCTTCATCTCTGCGAGCTAGTTCCATGGCTCTTTCCTGTTCCTCAATGATCCTCCGACGTTCCTCTTCCTGCATCTTTTGAACTCGCTCAAGTTCAGCTTCAAATGACTCCCTAACAGGATCATGAAAATCAGTCTGCTTAAGTGCCTCTTTCTTCTTCTTGGCCATACCAAGAACTGGGAACGGATCACGGACATCAAAACCAGTGTCTCCAAAGTCTTTAATGAAAGGATCTTCCTGTTGAGGATTGTCATTCTTGAAGAAGAGACGCTTATCCCTGCCAGAGTTAAGAATGGCATCATTAATTAAGAAACCCCGACTCACAACAAAAAAAGGAACTTCTAAAAACATACTGGAGATTATTAGCACTTTACCTATTCTGATGTTCAACCCTGTAACCATCCTTGATAAAAGTTCCCCTGTGGCTGGAGGAATCCATGCCGTTGTTCCATGGTTGTCTTCCACCATGCTGGTACGAAGTCTCTCTCGTTCCAGTATTTTTCCAAACATTGTCCCTTAAAGCTGATGAGATGTACTTATTTTCCTTAATAACTTCTCTACCCCTACTTGAGGGCATTGCACCACCACCAATATTTCTATCAATTCCAGCTTCATTTTGAAGCTGTGAAGAAGTTCTCCATGTGTTCGCCTCCCTTGCTCCGCTTGCCGGCATTACCTGAGCCAAAGAGGATTTTCCAGTGTCATTCTCGCGCTGTCCCAGCCTGTCAAACTGATTATGAGTAGCAGGTTTGTGTGGTAAGGCACTCGGCCTTGGCACATCAAAATCCCTATCCCACAATGTCTCATTTTTGGAATAACCATGATCCCTGTCCCAATCTCGAAAGCCATGGCTAGTATCACGCTCATCATCTGCCCATTCAGATCGTGGGTTCAAACGAACAAGAGGAAGAGGCCCTGGAAAATATTCCTTCTTCCTCAGCTGCTGAGGTGGTTGTGACTCATCTAGGAAACTGGAACTCTCGCTAGACTCAAGACCAACTCGGTTATAAGCAGACTGCAATTGAGGTCTCATGTCCACAAGTGAACTGTTCATAACAGAGACACCTCTCAGCTCTTTGGACAGCTCTTCAGCTGTGGCTTGCTTCTGCTTCTGATTCAAACTCTCTTTCTGTTTTTGCCCAGGAGCAGAAGCTGCAGGCAGTGTTGCTTTCAGAGACGGGAAATCTTCACCCCTCAAAGTTGCAGTTTTCTCCATAGGTGGAAACGCACTTTCCAAAGGTTCAGCCGCACCAGCCCGGGCAACAGGTGGCATATACAGGCCATTAGCCCCCTTCCCGACCAATTCAACAGCACCGCTAACAACATCGCCATCAAGACGTTCTTTCTCTTGGGAAGCAGGTGTAGCAGCAGGCTTACTCCACCCCATACCGGAAGAAGCAGGCCTTGATCCACCACCCGGAATGCCTCCAGCAGAATGAACACTTGAACCCAGGGAATCAATACGTTCATGCTCCTTCCTGAGTGAGGGGAGATTCAAAGGGGGTGGAACTGAAAGCTTCGGCCCAGCCTTCTGCGCGCTTCTTGGCCGTGAGAGGACAACCATGTTTCCGCCTCCCCCGCCGCTGCCATAGCCGCCGGCTCGCCCACGGATTGTCCCGCTACCTCCGGAGTGATTATAGTGATGATGAGGCTGTTGCCCATATGACTTGTTCAGATTCACAGACACATACTTTGTTCCTGCTCCATGATTAGCCATATCCTGATTCCGGCGGTCCCCGATCCCCGCCAACGCATCAAATCTTAAACCTAGATCTGATTTACTCTCCACAAATTCGTCCGCAGATCCTTTCCTCTTTGCCAGCACAGATCTCCTACAGTCGCGAATGATCGATTTGATTGAATCGTACAATCTCCCTGATCAAAAGACAAAAACTAACGATCAACCCCGGATGCAATCAATGATAATCAGCAGCGAACAACGCGAGAACCAAGACAAATTCAATGTGATCGAAGAGGCGAATTAGGGTTTCCTCCGTATCAGTTCGATGGAACAGAAAATGCGGTGAAGCAGTGCGTAGGAACCGAGGTTACCTCCTCCGGTGGCGAGCGTATGATAAATACGACGTTTGCTAACGTGCGCGCGGGGAGACGACGAGGCACGAGGGTACGGATCGTCAGGCAGAAAGCCCTACTACTCTTTGCCGGATTGAGAGAGAGGAGAGAGCGAAATTGCAAATAATTCACGAGACAAAGGCAAACGAGGACAAGGTTTTATGTTTTTTGTGAATTTGACCAAGAATTAATTGACTATTTGTAGTTTTACCCCCCAAGTCCCTACAACGCCGAGTTTCGCCGACCTAAGAGAATGAAAAACTCTTTCAATTATGCCCCACTATTTTGTTTGCTACTTTTTGGTCCCCCAAGGGATAGATAGCAGAACCCTCCGTATATGTACATGTACATATACAGAAGTTGAACAAGAGGGCGGCGGTACAGTGGTACTATATGCATGCGTATACATGACATGATACTGTCTTAAGATTTTTGTACTTGTTCTGTAGCCACTCTTATTATTTTAATTGAAAAATGGCTTAGTAGATACGGTATAAGCTCCATTGATAATTATAAATAGTACTTGGTGATGAACAATTACAACCTGTAATTTATATAAAACACACCAACTCTATTTCCGATTTTTTTAGATTAAAGTTTATATAAGTCATGCGTATTTACGATGTTGTTGTCAGGATCATGCTTGATTTCCTTTTACCGTCGAATTAATATATGGTTTCAATTTAGAAATTAATAGAATTTTACGACTTATGTTTAATTAGATAATCTATCTACAAAGTTTACCACTATGGCTACTCTCTGGTCACGGTTATAATGGGCCTATTAATATATTTACGTAACATAATGGACCATTTACAGGCCCATACTATTACAACGGGCCCGTCTTACACATGAAACCGCGAAATCCATGTGACACGTGTCATCGTCTAACGCCATCGGACGGCCAATATCCGTCTCGCTCGTGCCGTTTCGTGCCTAGGCGGTGAGACTACGTACGTGCGGTTTGCGAGTGTATAAAGCCCAGTATTTGAAATGTAAGTGCAAGTTGTAACCACCTAAACTATAATTATCAGAAGATTATTTAACTTATTTTTACGGATAAAATGACAATAAACCAAATAAAAAAAAGTTTGCAAATTATATATATAATCAACCAATAGAACGTGCATGCATAATTTTGAACCAAACTAAAATTATCCAAATAGAAAATTCTTCTTATATTAACACAAACTACACACACACATATATATATATATATATGTATTGTATACACACACAAAGACAGAGGCTCCAAATTTAAGGGAAACCGATGAAAAATCGCCCGAAATAGAAGGTGACAACTGCCAAGAAACATAAACACAGAAGGTATTAAGACAATAGTCGTGTAATTTCCAGATAGGACGCCGTCTCCTCCTCCACAAAACTACACCTTCGAAGAAGCCGACGTTCTTCTTTCGTCCATGCGCCATCAAATCGGTTCAGAAAGGTTTCGAACGGAAATTGAATTCCAGAACCAAAACGCTGTGACATATCTCTCTCTCTCCGACGAACAAAAAAGCCCCTCCGATGACGGAATCTCCATGGGCCGTACACGCCGGTCCAGAAGCGGCGGAGAAGATGGATCACGACGACAACAACTACTCACCGAATGTCCTCATGGGCTCTCTTTTCCGGGAAGAAGGGCACATATATTCGTTAGCAACGTCGGGTGAGTTGCTGTACACGGGATCCGACTCTAAAAACGTAAGGGTCTGGAAAAATCACGTGGAGTTCTCGAGTTTTAAGTCGAACAGCGGGTTGGTGAAAGCCATAGTGATCGCCAGAGAGAAGATATTCACCGGCCATCAAGACGGGAGGATCCGTGTCTGGAAGGTCTCGTCCAAAGAGGCCGACGTTCACCGGCGCGTCGGCACAATGCCCGGTCTCAGAGAGTTAATCAAAAGCGCCGTCTTGCCCACATCGTACTTCGACTTCACGCGCCGAATCCGCCGGCGAACGCGAGGGGCTAAGCACCACGACGCGATATCCAGCCTCGGCCTGAGCGAAGATGGGAAGCTTCTGTACTCTGCGTCGTGGGACAAGACGTTCAAGGTGTGGAGGACGTCGGATTTCAAGTGTTTGGAATCGGTCAACGCCCACGACGACGCCGTGAACGCCGTCGTTTCGGCCTTCGATGGGTTGGTTTTCACCGGCTCAGCCGACGGGACGGTGAAGGTGTGGCGGAGAGAGAACCAAGCCAAGGACACGAAACACTACTTCTCGCAGACGTTGTTGAAACAAGACTGCGCCGTGACGGCGATCGCCGTTAACCCGGAAGCGACGTTGGTTTACTGCGGGTCATCAGACGGAACCGTCAGCTTCTGGGAACGAGAGAATCTCCTGATAAACGGCGGCGTTTTGACGGGTCACAAGCTCGCTGTTCTCTGTCTGGTCACGGCGGGGAACCTGTTACTGAGCGGTTCGGCGGATATGGGGATAAGGGTGTGGAGGAGACAAGCCGACGGCGGCGGAAAACACGAGTGTTTGTCTGTCCTGACTGGACATTCGGGACCGGTGAAGTGTCTGGCGGTGGACAGAGACCAGGAATCGGCGTCCGGCGAGACACGGTGGATTGTGTATAGCGGGAGTCTAGATAAGTCGGTGAAGATGTGGAGAGTGTCGGAAAGATCACCGGCGATGGTTAACCAGGAGGTCCAACCACCGGGTAGCAACGGCGGACCAGCGGTTTTGACGGTGGCTCCTAGCCTCACGACCCAAGGCAGAATTAGCCAAAAAAAGTAGCTGGTTTCCCATCCACACACCACATGTATAAAAATGATCAACCCCTCAAAATGGCAAAGAGAATCTAGTTTCGCAATAGGATCTGACCATACAATTCGTACAGATCATTTCATTTTGTTGGCCAGAAAGATTATGTTTTTTTGTATTTATTTATGACACGTGGTCCAATCAGTCTTGCTTCAATGGACATTATTAACCAACATAGGACGTTCGATTATCCAACGGATAAATAAAAAGTGAGTATGACTGAATCTATTTGGTAACTTATAATTTTCTTATATTATTATCCGGGTAATATTTGAACCATTTCATTTCAATAAATGCAATTGAGTCGTGTGTAGGCGAACGGTGGTGGATAATGGGCTTCTAACTTTGTAATAACAAGAATGTAATTACGCCAATTTTTGGGCAAAGTAAAAAAAACAAGAGATTAAAAAAAAGGCCCATGCGAGTGATTGGGACCCACGGGACTTCCTCGCCCTTAGCGGCCCAACCCAGGCCCTGGTCGATGGTCATCACCGAAACTACCAAAATACCCTTTGTCGAAAGCGTCGTACCGAACACGAAAATTACAGAAGTACCCCTATAAATGAGAGACAAAATAAGATGAATGTGGGGGGAGGGGGGGGGGGTTGAGTTCTGATATACGGACGACTCGTCCTCGTCCTTACGTAACATAATGGACCCAAAATAAGATGAATGTGGGGGGGGGGGGGGGGGGTTGAGTTCTGATATACGGACGACTCGTCCTCGTCCGGATGCGACAGTGAAAGGACGGCTGCCACCACAATTCACACATTCCTCTTCATCATACATGCATATATATATATATGTATATGCGCGTGTGGTGTTGCTTTTGGTGTGAAAGGGAATAGAGATTGACAGAGAGAGAGAAGACCGCGCGTGCCGATCCGACAACCCCAGAGTTCTGATATACGGACGACTCGTCCTCGTCCGGATGCGACAGTGAAAGGACGGCTGCCACCACAATTCACACATTCCTCTTCATCATACATGCATATATATATATATGTATATGCGCGTGTGGTGTTGCTTTTGGTGTGAAAGGGAATAGAGATTGACAGAGAGAGAGAAGACCGCGCGTGCCGATCCGACAACCCCATTCCCTCATCCTTCTGTCTAGTTTGACCGCCCTTTTGTGTTTTACTCTATCCAAAATCACATTTGTTATCAGAAACGTGTTTGATGATCCGTGTAATGTAAGAAAATTTCACATAATCACCGCAAATTTCTAATGACGAAATTCAAATGATCCCGTTTTATTAACTAAAAAAAAGCATCACGTGGGTATAAATAGGAGCGTTTTATAGAAAACGGTGGGGCTCATATGGTATGGGATCTTCTCTCTTGATGATTGGAAACCAATAACAGAAGGGCGACAAACGCGGCAAAATGGAGAGAGAGGAGATGGAGACAAGATGATGGAAGTGGTCGGAGAAGCGTGGAGTTGAATAATTGAACTCACTCCCTCTGATTGCGGGATTCCGTCACTTTCACATTCCTTCCTCCGTACCAATCTCTCTCTCTCTCCCCCAATTTGTGTGTGTGTGTGTTTATGGTTGTGATATTTGTTTGTTGTTGTAGGCTAGCTAAGGTGTGCCTTCCGATATTGGTTTCGGTTCTTCCGTAACTCTAAAAACATGTACTAATCGATTATTATATCATATTTGATTCGATTTCGTTTCTAGTTTCCATTAATAACAAACCATATTTTCTTAACAAAATTTATGATTGAGTTTTTTTAAAATTCTGTTCCGTTTCGAAAAATTCGATTTTTTTAAAAAATACTATTTGATAATTTTAAAATGTTAGATTCGAAAACGATATCGAATTTTTCAATTACGGTTCAGTTCAGAAAAACCGTACGAAAACACCCACCCACCCTAATTATATCTTACTCGAGAAATATCCAAATTGCAGCATCTCATTTTCATTAATTTATACAGAATCACATTTTTATAGTCAAAATGAGTTACTTCAGTCGATCTCGGCCCTCATATTTACGTATATACATACATATATAAAATATATAGTTTATACTAGATATTGGTGTCTAAGACAGATTGATTTGGCACTTTGTTAACAAAAGATTTTAAAAAAAAAACTATTATTATACAAACCTCACAGATTTCATTTATCACGAAATGATGATAAGATGGCTATCACTTGGTACATACATCATTGTCCACGGTTTTTTAATTCTTTATCCTTAACTAAACTATTTGACTTTTATTACAAAACAAAAGGCGTTTGTCTAAAAACATTGAACAACACCGATGTGTACTAATAGCAACAAAACGACATAGAGAACAAACAATGCATACAACGACAGAAAGAGAAATTTATTAAAAATTTTGTTTTGACTGTTTTCCCGTAATTTTCCACGTCCCATAAATAACAAAACAATTATTATTACGTCTCCTTTTACTATAATAAGATATGTTAAGATATGCGGTCTTTTATCTGGAAAATGAAAAAAAAAAAATACATTGGTATAATATCTATAATATAGTTTCTTTATGACCTCACCTCCAGCTATAATAACGTAATAAAGTGTAATAAAACTAACTAATGAATATGGCTTTTAACAGAGATCATGCTTGAATTATTGGGAATTGCCGTACCTTGATAAGATCAATAGTAGGGTACTATGACTTTGCCTACTCTCTCGTCTCTTCCCGTAGACTTTATAGCCGTATTATTTTTTTTGTACTTTTAGAAATACACACATGTTAAGAAAAAAATCGTATACGTACAAATTATAATCGTATACGTACAAGAAGAAAGAAATTAAACTATGTTACCATAATGAGCAAACACTAAGTTAATTATCGTCAAGTGAGCTCTTGAAAGGCGAGCCGCCTACGTACCTCTCCTCTTCCCTCTCATCAGCCCAACAAACACTGTCAAAAAAGCCTGCCTTGCTTCTCTTCCCCTTCTCCCCATATCCATATGCGCATCTCTCTCTCTCTCTCCCTCTATCTCTCCCCATAAAAGCAACAAACCCAGAAGCTAGCTATCCAGCCACAAAGTTCAAACCTTTCACCGCCAATTTCCATTTCTTTCCCGAGATTTTCCTCCGAACCATTGGCCCGACATACCATCAGACTCCGGAGAGACGCGACGGGCGGTGGCCAGGCCCCACGACGGAGCAGGATCAGCTCCGGCGGATCAGGAACAGCTTCCTTGCCCTCGCTGCGACTCCACCAACACCAAGTTCTGCTACTACAACAACTACAACTTCTCCCAGCCCCGCCACTTCTGCAAGTCCTGCCGCCGCTACTGGACCCACGGCGGCACCCTCCGTGACATTCCCGTCGGCGGGGGCCTCCCCC